TCCCCGAGCTTTTTGAGAAGATGGAGCTATCTTGAGTCATATCTTCTTCTTTTGTATAACTATTTTGGTTTCAATATACAATGATTGAACACATGTAAATACTTATACTTTTTAAATACAATGGTTGTTTGTACTTTGATTACTATGATGCATGTGTTGTGATACTACAAATGATGTCCTCCACCCCCAGACGTTTCCGTCGTCTGGTTTGGAGGTGTGACAAAATGTTTTTAAGTATTTATAATTTCCATGTATATTTCCATTTACAGTACAATATCAAACAACTATATTTTTAATAGGACATTTATAACCATTGACTTTATCTATATTTTTTGTTTTGTTAGAACAGTTTTCCAGAAATTTTATTAAATAAAAGCAAATTAATTTAATTTTTTTTCCATTTTAGGCTTTTTGGCCTTTTGACTTGGGTTATGGGTTATTAAAGTCATTTTAACAGCTTGGTCCATTGTACATTGATATTATTGATCTTTTGAAAAACTTTGCTAGTTTTACATTAATTTTGTTCGGCTCAAGCGGTATCATAATTTATTCTTACTAGGCATTTTCATTGCCTAATTTATTTTAACATGTACTCAGATCAAAGAATTTTGAGGTTTAGAATAATAGTGATGACTTTTTAGAAGACCAGAGATTGTGTGGTAAAAACTTGAACACTGTTTTCAGGGGTGGATTTAGGGGGGTCACCGGTGGCACCGGCAACCCCTAACATTTCCGGCCGTAGTGGAAAATTTTTCGAAAATTTTTAATTTTTTTTATTTTTTCTATTATCGTGCAGCCCCTAACTCTCCCGTGCACCCCTACTAAGAAATCTTGCGTCCGCCCCTGACTGTTTTGATATTGATTTGGATACTACCTCTCTTTCAATCAAATCAAATTATTTTGGAACTTTGGAACCTAAATTTCAGATTACTATCTTTTGAGTATTTGAAAAGACCATGTTTTCCGCAAATTTTGAAGTTAAAACCTTTTAATGTAGGATCAAATGATTTTGTAAATCTTTTTAAAACTTCCCTAATGAGGAGTGTTTCAAGTGTCCATATTTCTTTTTTATCCCGTTCGCACAAACATTTGATGATACACTTTGAAGATTAAAAACATATGAGTATTACAAATTTAATATTTAATATTTAATATCAGAGATTAACAAGATACAAACTAATTACTCAAAAAATAATAAAGTGAAGGATTAAATATAAATAAGAGTATTACGGAACATTAAAGAATAAAAAAGGTTAATTGTACAAAACAATAAACTAAAAAAAAACATGGGTTATTCACTAAAATGACGACTTTAATACATATTACAAAACACCCACAACTTTCAAATATAAAAAAATGACAACCTGGTTCAAAAATCCAAAATTTTGTTTTTCTGATTTTTCGAACTCACTTTTTTGTGTAAAAACACATTCGGAATTCGTTTTGTATGACAAAATTTGAATTTTTGAACTTCAAATTTTCGAACTCCTATGAATTTCTGAAATACTAATTCGAAAATCTAAATTTTAATTTCTATGAATTTTGAGCATGTTCTGCATGTTTTTTGTTGGACGTAACTTTGGAATATTTTTTCCTATGAATTTCGAACATGTACTCCATATATGCATAGAGTACAACTTATGAAACTATATGTACAACTCTTGATGACATCATGACCAGCAGGTTTGAAAAATGATGATATCATCACCAAATTTACCAAATTGATTTTTAAACTGGAATTGTATGAAATTTGCATGGATAAAGGGAAACGAGCAGATTAACAAAAACAATCGCTTCAACGTGATGTTTGGTGTTTTCGACCATTCAGGGATGTTTAGGTCAAATTGATGTTTCTCTATTTTTTTGATTTTATGAATTTTTAAAACATTATGTTTGATTTAGTAGTTGATTAATAATCTTATCCTAATCGTTTTTGTGTGCTACGAATTCCATTTTCGTTCTTTATTTTCCTTTTTGTTGTTGTGAACGACATTTAATCAAATCATATGTGTATCACATGAATATGTTGAAGTGCCAAAGAAAAAAAAAACTAAAAATACTAAGTATGAATCTACAAAAAAAGTGGGTCATTTTCTTATATATGTATGATGTTCAAAAATCCATAATATAGTTCAAAATTTACAAATTTCAATCTTCATAGACATTTTGGTGTTTCCTGAAAAAGATGGTTATTATGTGATACCTACTTATTGAAAATGGTTAGTTTTGTGAATATCCCAAAACACATTTAGTAGAATAAATGTGTTTGATACATATATGACCTAAAAATTTATCTTCTTTCATAGTATAAAAAAACATTATATGGGATTGATCTAAATAATCAGACCTTCCATTGGAGATTATCTTAAAAAATAGAACGTCTAACTAGAAGTCATACAAGAAAAGCCAAAAAGGCTATGACAAAATAAGATAGGAAAATGATTACAACACTAGTTAATATTATGCTTAAAGAAATCTTTTACCGATGGCTAGATTGGTTGATGAATTTACTAAAATGTAATAAACCACACACTACAACAAAATGAAGTTAATACAACTCGATAAAAAGTTGTATTAAGCCTTGGAAAGTTTGTATTAGGCCTAAAGCACCTTTAACGAGGGACATGTTAGATGAAGTTCTCTTAGACCTCAAGCAACCATTTTGTTAGAAAATGTGTACGACCCTTTTTTTAAAAAGTTGCAATTTTTATAAAAAATCAACCATTTTAGTGCAACATTTTTATACTCAAATACAACTTTCTTTACACTCAAATGCAACTTTTATTATTGTTGTAGTCACAAAAATGTAACCTTGTTACACTCTTATGGTTTTAATTATAAAAATCATAACCTTTTTTACACTCAGATGCAACTATTATGATTTTAATTACAATAATGGAAATCTTTTTTATACTCAAAATGCGTCATTTTTTACACTAAAAACAATTGTTATTTATAGACATTGTTTATTCCATTTAACCATAACAAAAATATATATCATAGATATTATATTGTATTTTAACATACATGTCCAAACTCAAAATAACAACCATAAAATATAGTCAACAAAAAAACTGTTAATTACAATCATAAAGAATATTGAAATCCTTTTCCGTATGTACTTTTTATCATGTTATATGGTTGTTTCATTTTATCATCTTTGCAAAACGCCACCTCTGATTTCGATACCCCAAAAAAGTAGTATGCCATACATACACGATAATGAGTGATAAAGTCAAACCAGAATTATGTACTGATAATGTAAATTGCATGACAATGAATCCGAATAATGAGTTATAAAGCCATACCTTATACCAAACATAAACTATAACTCATGTTAGAAGGTAGAAACTCTTGTACTCTAGAAGGTAGTTATTATATAAGCTTCCAAACCACATCTTCAACTTTGTCTTATTAATCCTCCAACTAGCCCAAAGCCCAACTGTAGGTGATACAACTAAACTTTGAAAGTTGAATTGCAATTATGAACAAAGTGCACTATACCATCTTTAATAGCGTATTATTAGAAGGCTATATATACAAACATAAGTAAATAGTGATAAAAAAGTAGAAAAGTGGCAACTACTTTGTTCAAAACCGTATATATCCAAATATTTCGAATAGTGCATTTTGTATGTGGACCCACTTGCATATTTTTATTATTTGTTTCTTAACTTGTAGAAGATACTTCCATTTAGTGTTCAAATTTTGATGCATGCTTACGAAAGTTCATTTTCTTAAACATTACCTTGGTTGCTTAAAGTCAAATGGTATGTACATGTCTGTTGGTATAGGAAGTGTCATGGATGTATCTTTATTAAACATAAATACTATCAAACTTTTTTTAACTGTCGCAATCTATATATTTATTAGCCAAGTTTGAAACAAATAATTGTCATACTGGATAATAGATTAATAGTCATCATTGTTTTTCAAATTGGCAAATGAATATGTTCTTTAATTTAAAGACGAGTAAAAACTAATTTAGTTATATTAACTACCTTCAAACATACCAATTCTAATACTTGTATTTATCACCAAAAAAAAAAATTCATTGTATTTTTCTAAATCACGACACGAGTAAGGTGTCATAACAAGTTCCCCATCATAACAATCAAAATCTAAAGCCCAAACAAGACCGATTAGAAGGCTCATATGCATCACAAATAAACCCATACATATCATTATTGAAATTGAGAAATTTTTCAGAATGCAAAGGCTGTTGGAACTTGGAAGCAATTAGGTGTATGCCCAATGGGCCTAAGACTTGTTAGCTTGTGACCTTGTGTAGAAGTGTAGAATTAGGGACGAATCGGATCGAATTTGACCCGCCTAGTTTTAAGGATTATTTAGAAATTCTGATGTTGGCCCCTAGTCTAGAGGTGCACAAAGTAAACCCATTTTTTAATTAAATCTAACCGATTTTTAAATAACCTGTTCAATGAAAATCAAACTGCTGGTTTTATATAGGTTTGTATAAATAACTGAAACATGTTTTTTTTCCCGGTTTTTCTACTATAACCGAACCCAACCGGTTTTCTAACCTAATTTTACTTCCAAAAAAACTGAAAAAATCAAACTGATATAACCAAAATCAGTCTAGAGAAAACCAGTTCAAAACCAGTATATGTGTCCCTCTACCGTAGTCTATTGAATATTAATTGTTATTTTGCTAATGATTTTGGGGATCTAAGTTCTGGAAATTTCATGAAGGGTATATGTTATGGAAATGAAAACTTAGCTAAAGTTATAATTAATTAACTTTACAAGATAATGCAAAAATGCATTTGGACTTCAAAAAATTGTTATTTTGCTCGCAAATTGAATCTTTGAGCTGATATTAAAAAAAAGTTCATGCACTCTGTAGAGTGAAATTTTGGTCATGGTGTTAATATGTTCTGCTTTATACCAAGACAATTATGATAAAATAACTATTCCACTTAACATATATGTTGATGTACTAATTACACGTTCATGGATGTGGAAATTGTCCATAATACCCCTACCTATTAAGATAATCAATACTAGTGATTTGGGTTGAAAAGGAAAAGGCTGAATTGGGGATAGAAAAAAAGAAAGTTCTTAAGTTGTATCCAAACAAAATCTCCAATAAAAGGGTTTATCATTGCGTTTAATCGTTTTGACATTTGAAGAATGAGATGAAGAATGAACCATTTCCCACATCACTTGTATATCTTCGTATCCCCCACAAGCCTCCATGTCTTTGTAAAGACTCACCAATCCATTCTTATGCCCTGCAATACACAAATACACATACACATATTAGAGATAAAGAGCTCTTAAAGGAAGCAAGATGATCGTAGGTTTGAGTCTTTCAATCAAGGACTTTATGATATTTTTGTGCATACCCTGCAAAAAATGTAGGTTTCTCCTTGATCCTATGGGGAGATGAAGGGAGAGATAAAGAGATCATCTATGGTCTTTACCTTTTGCTTTGTTTGTGAAGCATGATTTCAGCTTCAAAAGTATGTCTTTTGTTGATAAAATGAAAGAATTTCTGAATTTGAAACAATAGCAGCCCTTCCACCTCCTCATTGTCGACAACTCTACTTCAACTTCAATTCCTTACTCACTCACAATCGACATATATATATATATATATATATATATATATATATATATATATATATATATATAATGTTTAATTGCTACAACACAAATAACAATGGACAAGAAAGTAAGTGACACCCTACAAGACAAAGGAGCCTAATGATTCAAATTATATCAACTGTCATGAGACCATTTTTTTATGTTTTAAATAAAAGGCTTAGCACTACCCATTTAAGAATGCGCAAAGAAACTTGATCATACACTCAAAAATAGTTTCAACTCTATTTAAATATTGTCATGTTTCTTTATGAAAAAAGAAATATTTCACTACAAGAGAGTTTCTTTGACTACCATAAAAGTAGAAATATTTCACTACAAAGAAAGTTTTTCTTTGACAAGGATAAAAGTCATTCGTGTAGAGGCTGAGACACGTCGTATTGTAGGTGTCATTGTTGTAGTTTCATGCATATAGCTCGTAAAATGATCACTGAAATATTTCATTGGGAAAATGACTAAGGATGATAATGAATTTTTATTTTTTTCACGTTTAGAGCAACTCCAACCATAAATCACTAAATTGGTGATTTGTTAACACTAAAATAGTGTTTGCATTCCAACCAATCACTAAAGTTGTGATTTTTAGAGGCCAAGTAGTTTGGCCTTCATGTTTGGTGTGTGAAGTTACCCCAGGGAACACTAAAATGATGTTTTTTAAAGGTTGATTGGAATGAGAACACCACTTTATTGGCCTTTATAATTGTGTTTTAGTGGTTAGTTGGAGTTGGTCTTAGTAAAATACTTATGGAGTTTTTTTATAAATATTCAAAATATGCCACGATTATATTTATTCTTTTTTCTTTAAGTTATATATTTGAATGTCTATTTATGTTACACTGCAATCTAGCTTGCAAGTTATTTTTATCAACCATTAATATTTCATAAGCTAGTTTGTCAAACAAGATGGTTATATTAAAATATAGGGTTTACAAAAATGTAAATTCTCTCAAGCTTTGTACAATGACTATTTACAAGAAACTGAACAATACAAAAGGAACTCTATTTTTTTCTAATTAAGGCAAAAGACAATTATATATCATTAATTGGACTGTATCACGAAAAAGGAAAATTAATGTATGAGGTGAGAGAATATGCTATCGTAAAGTTAGATTGAATAAACAGACAAAATGAGTAGGAAGGATTGTTGGCATTTTTTGCTTAATTTTGTTATTGTTATCGAAGATTCGAATTAAAATAGGTATTTAAATATTAGAAGGTGGTGATGGAGCCATTTAGTCAAACGATTTGTTGATTTTTCTTCTGTATTTTGTGTTTGTAGTTTGTACCACCTCCACTTTTTTGCATACAAAATATATACAATAATCTTTTTTTTATAAATTATATAAAAAAACATATATAAGACGTATTATCATTATTTCGAATACATTTAGCTTGTTAAATCAATATAATTCATGGGGTTCTCCTTTCTGATCAATATCAATTATCTACTTCAGTCGCTTGATAATGGTGGAAAATTAAAGAGGATAGTGGCAAATTGGCAAGTATAGAGCATGTGCTCCCTACCAAATGTGATTGATTATCTTTGGTTGACCTGCTGCCACTGTTCGACAAACTACTTAGATGGACATACTTTAACAAAGTCAACTTTAGATTTCGTTCCTTTAATATACAAAAATTAAAAAACTAATTGTATTGTTTTGTTTTTCATATTTCTATTTCAAGTAAATAATTTTACTTGTTGGTCTCGAAAAGTAAAAGTGTTATTCAATCTTCATTGAAATCATAACATGTGTATTGTGTAACGTATACGACACATTACATGTTCTTAAGGCATTTTAGTTTATTTTTGTTTTTTCTTCGGCTTAACTTTTTCTATCAAAATCCATACATCTTCATAGGCTAGAGGTTGTAGCTTTGATATCTCCTCGGCAATGGCAATTGCTAGCCTACCTCGGCAAAAACCTGCCACATCTTGGTATGCTGGGTTGGCGAGCCAACTCGGTGAGTTGGTGTAGAGGATAGCAAAAAAAATATTTGTAATTTCTAAAAAAATCCAACACTTTTTAAAAATATACTTATTTTTCAAAAACTATCTGTTATTTTTTTTCAAAATTTCAAATTTAAAATACTTTTCAACCAAAATGAATACAAACAACTATCTCTATTTTTCACGGCTTTCAAACCTTCGGTATTCATCTCTGTCAAAAAGCAAATTTACACCAAATGGAAGCACACAAACAAAATGATAGTTCAGTTTTATAACACATTTTGACGTTTTATTTAACATAGTGATGTGTAATTAGGAAAATGGTGAAAATGATGAAATGCTATTAAACATGACTCTTGAAATTTTCTGTCTTGGTAACAATAAATATTTCCGGTATCTAGAGTTTTGACAAGTTGTCAAGAGCACAAAATTGCACCACGATATGGATAGAAGCGGTGATATTTTTATGTTAATGTTTTGTCTTTTTAATTTCAAATGTCTTATCTTTTATTATATACTTGGCAATTCGATTTTAATGAAACTTTCCGTTTTATATAACTTAGATTGATTTAAATAATAAACAAAATAAAAACATATACGAACATTAAACCACAAATCTCTCAACCCATTTAATCCATTGTCATAACTGTTTTTTCTCTTTTAGTTCTTTTATTTTTCTCAACCCACAACACATTGAAATAGCATATTTCCCAACATATTAAATTCACTCAATTAGAGAGAGAGAGAGAGAGAGAGAGAGATTTTATAAACATATAGTTGAACATCAAAAGGTAAACATAATAATAAATAAACATTTAACAGAAGTTTTTACCAACTTGCTACAAAAATTATTGTGCATTCCGTTCTCATATAACCCTAAACCATAACTTGTAACACAAAAACATAACTTCAAAACCTCTTTCAAGAAAACAAAAACATAAAAACCAAACCCAAACTTAAGCAACAGCATCTTGAGCAGCTCTTCTTTTCCTAGCCTCCTCAATGATAGTCAACTTAATACCCTTCCCTTTAGGAAGAGACACCCAAGGCTTTGACCCTTTTCCAAGAGTAAACACATTCCCCAATCGAGTAGCAAATTCATGTCCAGTTGAATCTTGAATATGAACTGTTTCAAAACTCCCCTTATGTTTCTCCCTGTTCTTAAGAATCCCAACACGCCCTGTGTTTCTGCCACCTGTCACCATCACAACATTCCCAACATCGAATTTGATAAAATCAACAATTTTGTTTGAGTCGAGGTCGAGCTTGATTGTGTCATTGGCTTTGATTAGTGGGTCCGGGTAACGGATTGTTCTTCCATCATATGTGTTGATGTAGGGAATGCCCTTTGACCCAAATTGGACTGATCTTACCTTGCACAATTTAAACTGCAAAACAAAAGTTAAAAACAAAACTAATTACAGAATTAATTACTTAAACTAATTTTACCACTTACCTTAGCTTCTTCATCTCTAACTGAATGTAGTCTGAATCGACCTTTTGTGTCATAAAGAAGACGAAAGTTTTCATTGGTTTTGGGGATTGAAACAACATCCATGAATCCAGCTGGATAAGTTTTGTCAGTTCTAACTTTGTTGTCAACAAGAACATGTCGTTGCATTAAGATAGATTGAACCTCACGATATGTCAATGCATATTTCAACCTATTACGAAGGATAAGGATCAAGGGCAAACATTCACGGGATTTGTGGGGCCCCAGATGATGGTTTAGGAGCCTGAATAAACCAAAATTGAAGATTAAATAAGTGGAAAAAAAGGAAAAATGTGAGTTATTACAGAGAGGTGAAAGAAGAATCTGCTTACAAAAGCACCACCAAGTTTGTCAAGCATCCAATGCTTCGGGGCATTGAGCCTCTTCATGTGTTTCTTTAATCCTCGAGCCTTTAATTACGGTGAAAAAGGTTTGTTAGATAACAAACATTAAGCTAACAAGTTGTAATTTAGAAGGTATTTGCTACGAAAGTAGCAGAAATAAGCTTAGGGTAACTTTATATGCATAAATTGTGGACAAGCAACAATCAGATCATCAATCGAAATAACGATGACTGAAACGATATCTTGCCTTCTTTACTTTATCCTTCAGTTGTCAAAATGAAGAGACAATTGATGAATGTCACTCAAAAGTATCAACAGAGGAATATAAGTACGAACTTTAAGAAGGTCAATACACGAGCTCGATTTTCCAGGTTTTTTTTTAATAGGCTCGTGACCAGGCCAACAAATTATAAGTTTTCGAAAAGCAAATAATCATCAAGAATGAAGACACAATTGAATGTATATGCATTAAAATTAACCTAACATGCATATGAATTTTACATACAGAATAAACATTACATAGAAACAGTTCAGAGAAATAAACATGAATTATACCATGGTCGCGGTGTCCGGCGGGAGATCTAAATCTCCGGTTGAATTTTTTCGGCTAGCCTGCTCCTCTCCTCGCCACTTCTCTGCAACTCGATGCCGCACCCGAAACGATCTTCTTAAATCGAAGCTCTGGAAAAAACCCTAAATCCTACGCTTATAAACCCACAAAATCACCATTGGGCTTGAATTAGGCCGGCCGGTCAGCATATCAGGCCCAACTTTTAGTTTACCATTGAAATCGGGCCCAGTCGGTCATGCTCCACAATCCATATGTATAGGGTTAAAAACCGGATTTTTTCCCGTGATCATTTTGTTCAACAAAAATCAAAATCAGCTTGTGTTAGAACTAGTTCGGTTTTTAATCTGGTTTTTTTTAGCAAAAACATCTAAATCTATAGAGGTGAAATCGGTATTACAAAACCTTATTTTTTCGTATTTTGCCGAACTTACTTTTGGTGTCAAAATTTAATAAAACTTTCATACTTGATTAAAAACAGACAATAAGTAACTTATGGTTAGATCATGAGCTAAGGTATTTTCATGATTTTCATAACCGTTTAGGTGGTTCACAAATCGTTATTTTTTAATTTTTAAGTTTTAGAAAAGTATTTCCTGCATATAAGATTAGAAAATTGTCTTTGTAAACCTCTAAATATATAAACAAAAAAATTGAATAAATATTGGATGAAAACAATATCGTTTTATTATATAAGACGAAAATCAAAGTTTGTTACCCTTTGAGGCCATTAACTCTTTAATATAAGAGGTTTTACTGAGCGTAGAAACTCAAAATTTAAAATTATGATTTTAGTTTATGTTTGTGAATAACCTTTTTTGATATATTTACTTTCTATATGATAGTAATTAATAGTTTTAATAAATCAAATAATATGTAAAACCTAATAATATATCGCTACAAATAACAATTGGATATACAACATTTTAGATTATCTTAAGAATTTAATTTATTTTAGTTTTTTACTAGGTCTGTTGAAAATAATCAAAGTTGAACTCCTCGTCTGACCCGTTCTGAATCCAGATAAATTATGTCGGATCAGGTATTGGGTATAAAATTTCGAGTATTGGGTATGAAAATAATCAAACCTGAACTACTCGTCTGATCCGTTCTGAATCCAGGTAAATTATGTCGGATCAGGTATTGGGTATGAAATTTCGAGTATTAGGTTAACCTGGTATTTAATTAGTTCGGGTATCGGGTAGGTGTAAAAAAATCCGGGTATACCCAAATACATGATTTAAAAAAAGAATAACTTGTATTGTTTTACCACTTACCATTGGCATCACACCCTAACGTAATGACTTTGAGACATGTTAATATGACACATGGACAAATCATAATCTATCTCATTGAGAAATAAAGATTGGAGCCAGAAAAATAATAATATTTTTAGGGATTTGGTAAATCTTCATATTGTATGTTAATGTTTAGCTCGAAAACTTATCACATTGCATACTATGCGATAATTGAATTTTAGTCCAAACAATTACGTTTAGATAGAGATACATACCGAAGAAGGAAATGATTTATTGTCTCGTTTAAAATCTAGATTCAATTATCATTCTACTATTTTGAAATAATGTATGAAAATTAGCCTATAAAATCCATATAAAATATAAAAATTAAAATAAAAGTGTCATTTTGACATTTAACTGATTAGTTAAAAAAAGAGTTTTTTTTTTTTTTTTTTTTTTTTTTTTGCAATACTGGAAATCCCAAGTTATCGGGTATCGGATTCGGGTAGTTTGGGCAGCATAGTTTGGCTATTGTCTGCTTTTAACACCAGTAACTTGGGCCATTGATTTACAACATGGTTCATACTTTATAAGCCACTTCGGTTAAATTTCGTCAAGTTTTCCCTCATCGCAATTCGCACAACCCAAACGAAGGTTGCAATACAATCACCACCACAAGTACGAAACCCCCAAAACATAGAAGACTAGCAGCACGAAAACCTTCGATTATCCCTTTGTATATAAAATAAATCTTCCGACTTGTTACAAATTGGGGATTTTGGTCGACGTAAGGTGGTTTTGGTTTTAATTCATCAAAGAATTCAATGGCACTGAGAGCACCTGTTGCAGGGTTAAGTATCGCTTCAACAACATCAGCTTCATTACAGGATTCTTCTACCAGAATTGGATTTTGCAAGATTCCAACTAACAGGACATCGTTCTTTGGTTCTGGAGGTAACTTACTGATTAATATACTCAGGACCCATTTCAAAATTTATGAGTTTTTAACATGATTCATCCTTTTTTATTGTTATAACTTCTACAAATTTCATTAGTTAAACTTTCTGTTGTGTCAAGCATAAACCCTTAATCTTCTAGATTTGTGCGTTTTCTCAATGATGTTGATAAGGTTACTCGGATTGAAGTGAATAAGTTAGTAGTTAAACGATGCTAATTGTTCTTATAATCATCCCACCTTTGTGGATGAGTTTTCAAAGTTAACAGTGTCTTTCAAGATTGCCATAACAAACAATAACTTAAAGCACATTGCTATTCCTTTCATTTAGTCAACATAATCAATGATGAAAGATAAGGAATTTGTAGAGGTAAGTAAATATGTGAAAAATGATGAAAAAGTCCTTTTAATGGTTTTACATTTGTGTTGCAGTTGGATCCCTAAAGGTTAGAGTACAAATAGATCACCCTAGAAATACAAGATGTTATGGAATTCGCATGAATCTTTTTGATCGTTTTGCACGAGTTGTCAAGGTTAGGTTATTATTTGGATATTCATCATGTCATATAGTTTTTTTTTTTTTTTTTGGTTTTAAATTGTTATTTTTGATCTGTTAGTCCTATGCAAATGCACTGGTTAGCACCTTTGAAGATCCAGAAAAGATCTTAGAGCAAGCTGTTCTTGAAATGAATGATGATCTAATAAAGATGCGTCAAGCTACAGCTCAAGTACACTTTCATTTTTTATTTATTTATATATATTTATTTACTTTTGGATATGAAACTAATTTCATGATTTTGGTTGTGAAGGTTTTGGCATCTCAAAAGAGGTTGGAGAACAAATATAAAGCTGCTGAGCAAGCTTCTGAAGACTGGTGAGTCACCATAGACTTTTTTTTTATAAATGTTTTTTTAATAAAAAAAAAAGAATTAAATTTGTAGGTACAAAAGAGCACAACTTGCTCTTAGTAAGGGAGATGAAGATCTTGCACGTGAAGCTTTAAAGAGGCGTAAATCTTATGCTGTAAGACTTCATTTTTTTTTAGATCTATAAATCACTCATAATGATTTTGATATTTTATATAAAAATATATGATTGTATATTTGTATTGTATTATTTTATAGGACAATGCAGCTTCTTTGAGGACTCAACTTGATCAGCAGAAAGGTGTTGTGGATAATCTTGTGAATAACACTCGGGTATATTTTTCACCTCTTTTTAAATATTGTTTCCAAGATCTGAAATTTTTGCTTATTTCCAAATCTATAATACATTTCTCTTAACAGATTCTAGAAAGCAAGATACAAGAGGCTAAGTCAAAGAAAGATACTCTCAAAGCACGTGCACAGTCTGCAAAGTTAGTTTTTTTTTTTTTTTTTTTTTTTTAATAACATTGACATTTTGCTATAACTTGTTGGAGTTAATGTATTTTTTTTTTTTGTATAGAACTGCAACAAAAGTAAGTGAAATGTTGGGGAATGTGAATACAAGCAGTGCTCTTTCAGCATTTGAGAAGATGGAAGAAAAAGGTTCCCTTTCTTTCTATCTTAAAACAAAACAAAAAGACATGAATGCCCTTCTAACTCTTTTTTTTTTTATGTTAGTTATGACCATGGAGTCTCAAGCAGAAGCCCTTAATCAGCTAACAACTGATGATCTTGAAGGAAAGGTATATTTTCTTTTTTTTTATAATATTTAGCTTATTGGATTAAGTCATTCTTTCTGAATTTACCCTTTTGCAGTTTGCAATGCTGGAGAGCTCATCAGTTGATGATGATCTTGCAAGCTTAAAGAAGGAACTATCTGGAACCACAAAGGTATTTATTTTCTCTCCTTTTTTCCTTTTAAACATTAATGAAATGACATTATCACCCTTCATTACAAAATCAGATGAATATGCTTCATTTCGAATTTAATAATATTTTAAGGTAAAATAAACAAACCTTTTCCACCACTTTCTCCAAGATCCATTGCAAGCAAGTCCATCAAGTTATCATTATTTTTCCTTCCGTAAGGGCATTTTTGGGATTTTACAGAAAGGAGAGCTTCCACCAGGGAGAACAACGGTTTCCAACTCAAAAGCAGCATATCCATTTCCGGATCTTGAAATAGAGAATGAGCTGAATCAATTAAGGCAAAGAACCAGAGACCTCTAGAATCAACTTCATATTTTGTTTGGAAAATGGTTACTCAAGCTCAAACTTTATTAAATTCCAATGTTACCCTTTGTCAAAATTATTACAAAATATATACTCGTGTTATTGTGGGACTTTTTGTTTATGTGGATTTTTCATCACTTTATCGAGTTTTATAGTTTATAAATGGACAGAGTTCATATTTTCTATCTATTCACAACAATATTTGTTGTAGCTTACACGTTAAAGGAGGATGCAAATCATGTTTGTATTGGGGTGTTTGGATGTGTTTAATGTTATTCGACACTTTTTTTATTTTTTTAAGATGAAGTCATCAAAATTTGTTGTAAAAAATGTAATATTTAGTTATGATTGTATGAGAATGCAAGGGCAAACATGTCTTTTTCACTATAGTCAAATGTTTTTATAAACTCGTTTGAAATGATTTTGACAAAAGAAAATAAGATGAAATATAAAGATGATGAACTATTGAATTGAAAAAATATCATCATATAGGACATACGTAACTTTGATAAATAGGAAAATATATAAGTATTGGGTTAAAAAGAAATATATTATTATATAGGACATGATATAAATGATGATTATTATTTGTCTTGATTATACATTTAAACAGCATAAAATTGTATTTAATATGTATTAAAATTAACTTAAAACAATTTATGTTAATAGTATATATTTAATTTCTTAATAAGTTTACATCCATATTTTTAGTTAATTAATAATAATAATAATTCAATACTAATATTTTTTATGTCTAAATTTAAGTTATTTTTGTTTTGTTTTGATTTGATTTACTCATACAATAAGTCAATAACTCAAATTACAGGGTCTCTTTTGTAGTTTTCTTATAATTTGAAGGGTAGCCGTCCTCCGATTCCAATTTCCAAGCTACTCACTTTTTCATAAAATCCCCTTTCAATTTCGCCAAATCATCTTCTCCCCCTTTCAATTCTCTTCTTTACAAATGAATTACTCGTTTCAACATGTAATTTACAAAACAAAAGCATTATTCTACATATTCATATTATGCTATGTAATTTTATATTTATAACTAAGTTATTAGCTAGCTTATCAAACATCAATTTTATCAACTAGAAGCTAGTTTTTTTAATTAGTTTACTAAAAACGGTTCAGAAGTCATTCAGATGTTGTATCAAATATTCAAACAACATTCAAACATGTTGAATGTAGACCAATTTAGAGGCGATCTTTGAATGGTGCCATTATTGAGAGGTTATTGAATAGCCCCTTAATGGACCAAAACCATACAAAAACCTTTGCAAAATTACAGAGAAAATATTTTGAGACCAAATTTGTAAAATCAGCAAAAGTTGGAGACCTAAGATGTAATTTAAAATTAAATCCTTCATCGGATTGAACCATGAAATACGCAAAATATAAAAATTGGAAGAATGACAAAAAAAGAAACACCAAGAACTCGAGGAGTCAATTAGTATGCGGTATAAAACTAGTATTTTGAGTTCAAGTTACATTACGAATCATGTAAATCTAAAATCCTCAAAAACTATCTTCTTCAACTGTTAAGAAAGCATCAAATAAAATTAGCAACACGTAGATCAATATCATCCATGAATTTGAACTTGGTCGACTTTGAATGCTCCAGTGCTTCAACGTGGCATACTATGCGATCAGCTTCAGTTATTGTTTAGGAAAAATACTCTTTCTGAATAATCATCTGGTCGCATGTTTAGTTTTTGCCCTGATCCATTGTTATTGTAAAACACACATGAGAATTCAAATGGTAGAAATATATCTTATAAAAGCAAGATCTATCGTTAAAAAGCAGTGGTTATATGCATATATACCTGTAAGATGTTTACTAGACAAATCAGGCACAGTGTTGGTCTTCTCAGGCAGCTTTTCTGCAACGAGATCCGCTCGTTCAACACTGCCACCAGGCCCACCACCACCATCTTCATTAAGTAAATCAGTTTTCGCTTGATCACCACCATCATCTCCACTTCCATTATGGTGAAACATATTTGAAATGAAAGTGTTGATAATCCCACCACCTCGTCCACCGCCACTTTCTCCGTCACCACCATCGTCTCCACCATGCCCTCCACTACTACCGATGCATAAATCTTCGCTTTTCTCTTCAACTACAACATCAGTTACATCACTTTTCATTAAACCACCAACTTCAACTTCTCCTTCTATAACACTTTCATTCTGGTGAAAAACATTTGAAATGAAAGTGTCGATGATCCCACCACCACCACCACTTGCTTCCAATCCTTCATTTACTGGATCTTTATCGCAGTCTCCACCACCATTAACACCAAAAATGCCACTTGGCCTCTTTTCGAGTCTTCCTATATTGATTTCCTCTTCGCCATCTCTTACTCTCTTGTTACTCACTTTTTCATCGAATACTAAATCCGGCAGATCTAACATACTATCTTCCATATATATCTTCTTTTTGGAAACCCAGCAAGTTTTATAATGGTCACTGTTGTTGTACGTTCTCTCGCTTGCCCACACATATATATATATATATATATATATATATATATATATATATATATATATATATATATATATATATATATATATATATATATATATACACAATTTGCTAGCGAAGTATAATTATACAGATCTCGTTTTCATAAAAACTAATTAATAGTATGATATTCTGGTATAAATGATGACTCATTCCTTGAATATATGATATAACTCTGGAATAGCATCTATTGTTAAGTTTTTTCGTAACAAATAATCACAAACTAATCAATTTAATTAAAAGGCTTTAAAAAGCTATATAACATTAGAGCTTTTCTAATGAGCCATCGATTTGTATTAATCGATTTGTATTAAGGACACATATAAAAAATATTAATTATAACAAATATTATCATAATTAAATATAAAATATATTAATTATGAAGGTTATTAATGTATTTTATATTTAATTATGATAATATTTATTATAATTAATGGATTTTACATTAATTATGATAATATTTTTTTATACATGTTAGAAAATCCTTAATTGTTTTTATATAAGTTGGTCATTCGTAGTTGGCTACAAATATACAACATTTGTACTAATATATTAATATTATATAAAAATATTGTATTAGTTTCAACAAAAAAAACATCTAAATTTACAAGTTTAACCAAGGGCAGACGCAAGATTTTATAGTAGGGGTGACACGAGAAATTTAAGTATTGACATGATAGTAGAAAAAAAAAATCAAAATTTTTTGTACTGTGTAAACGAAGGTCAGGAGCTGCCGGTGTTACTATGAGACACTATATAGAACCGTTACTGAACTCGACTACAAAATTTTTGATGTAAAAACTCTTACAATAATGATTAAGTTTTTCATTAATTTTGTTGTTTTGAAAAAACTGTCAATATGGATGTTCGTAAAAAAATATTGAATTATTATGATTACTTAGGCATCTATATGAATTTAATTTATAGAGTTTAGTGTCACATCATCATTTTATTTTTATACAACTTTATCATTTTTTATACATGGATCGAACTCTATAAAATTTAATGAATTTTTAAAACCATTTATTATAAAATCTAATTTAAGAAATTTATTAAAGGATTTTTTTTTCCATTGAACTCTAATGTAGCATCTGACTATTTAGTTTAATCTATTGGCATTTACAATATGTTCCATGAGATTCGAATCGTAGGTTGTTATGGTTTTTTCGCAATGCAATTCTCAAAGAGTATATGATTTACATGTAGACCTTGAAGGGTGAAAGTTTATTTTCATGAAAAGAATATATCACTTGTCCATTTGTCTTGTATAATCATATTGTGTAATATAATACAATGAAACATATATTTCTAGTTTTTATAGGAAACTTTGTTTGTGAAGGGTTTCAAACTATACCCCAAATACTTTTGAGGAAAACAAAAGCTCGTCTCACGTCCTTCCCTTGTTGATTTGTGTGCTATCTTAAACATTTGTCATTTATTATCGTGTGGATATGCAAATGTTTTCACAAAAGTAGCCTTATCCTGGTATATCTCGTTGGAAAGATAATGCACATGCTTGTATTGTATATTGTTAACCTTGAAAATTGAAATGGACAATCGGGTGTGGTTCCATTTAATAAATTACTGAATAATGACAACTGATTGAGGACGTTGATGTCGACATGTCGTTGTTAAAACCGTCGATACCAAAGAATACATGTCAAAACCATAAATCATGTGAGTCGGTAGCTTTGAGAACAATTGTCGATGTGGAAAATACTAAGGTCTAAAATGTAATGTTGTATTTAAAAAAGATGTGAAAATGAGAAGATTGTTATATATAGTTTTTTACATATTAGTTAACATGCATGGATGGCTGTAAATAGATATCTTTTTTTGTTTAATTTCTTCTTCACAGATCAAAAATTTACTAATAAAAATTATAAGCTAAAAAAAAAAAAAAAAAAAAAAAAAAAAAAAAAAAAAAAAACTACATGCTGAGCACGTCCTATTATAAAGCTAATTTTCTATAAATTATTTGTGTATTTATACCAATAATATTCATGAAAGCTTTGGTCGGTGGAATGGATCATGTCCATTGGGTGGACCACTCACCATCTTGCTTTATATTGTTATTATTATTTTTATTATTAAATATATATATATATATATATATATATATATATATATATATTTGACCGGACCTGAAATACCCATCACGTGAATTTATTTGACCACTCGCTTCTAAGCAGCGGGGCTTTTAAGGCTTGAAACACCCATCACGTGCGAATGAAGTTGCGAAGGAAGGCATGAAGTACATAAGTGGCCGGTGGCTTTATGGATAATTTGATTTAAGGGTAAATAGCAAAAGTATTATTATATGATGTATTAATTTATTTTCCACTGTAAAAAAGTTATATAGAATCGATATTTGATGCTTTGTGCTCCTGATCTTATTTCTAGCGACAAGCTTGTCAAAACACACTGATATTTTATCTAACTTCTAACTTAATAATATATTAATATAAGAATGTAGTTTGAAAATTAATTATTTAATATTAAATAGATCAATGTGTTATAGCGAGTGTGAGTGTGATTTTTTTGTTATTAATTTGAAATATTCATCATATATTTGGATTAAAATTATTGGCTGAAGTTAGGGAAAAGAATAACTGAAAAAGATATTTGAATGTGTTGTTGAAGTATTTATAAATATATTAGGGATCGTTTGGTTCAACATTACAATGATCGTTTGGAAAAGTAAATGAAATGGAATTTAGAATGTTCGATAAAGACAAATGCCAAAATTACAATGACTAAGGTTCCGACAAGGTTTTACAAGGCTTTGATACCATGTATTGAACTAGAATTTTGGAAACGAAAGCTTTGCATTTGATAGTGAGGTTTAAGCCTCAATTTATATACAAAATGATTACTAAAACAAGAAATACATAAAAGTAACTTAGGACACAATAAAACCCTATTTTATTTCTATCTTTGACAGATTCGTGGGACTACTTCAATTTACTTTTTCTATGATTCTTGTTAATCGATCACCACCCATATTAGAGTCATATTTATGAATATATTTATTGCATTCAATGTGAGGTTAAAGCCTCAATATATATACAAAACATTACCTAAAAGAGAAACTAAACAAAATGAGTACTATCAGCACTAAGGAAGCCTTATGCTACATATGTACATAAGATTAAATGAGTCTGATTAATTCTAACACTCCCCTTCAAACATGGGTCTGATTAATTCTAACACTCCCCCTCAAACAGGAGCATAAATGTCAATCATGTTTAGCTTGTTACAAATATAAAAAATTCGATTCCCAGGTAACGCTTTAGTAAAGTTCCAGTTCTAATGTGAGGTGTAGTGATGGTTCCATTTTTAACCTTCTCGCGAGTAAAGTGGCGGTCTACTTCAATGTGTTTGGTTCTTTCATGAAAAACATGATTGTTTGCAATGTGGATAACTGCCTCATTGTCACACCATAAATTCATCGGCTTAGATTGAGGGAAACCAATTTCACCAAGTAAATTTTGCAACCATATTAGTTCACAACTGGTTTGAGCCATAGCCATGTATTCAGATCCCGCACTTGATCAAGAAACAACATTTTGTTTCTTATTCTTCTAAGAAACTAGATTTCCTCCAATAAAAACACGGTACCCAATAGTGGAACGCTTGGTTGTAGGATCACCATCATAGTAGGCAACTGTAAATCCTTCTATAACATGATGGCCATGATTTTGGTATAGAATACCATAGCCCGGTGCACCTTTCAAATATTTCAAATGTGGGCAACAACGTCCCAATGTAAAGTTCTAGGGACTGACATAAATTGGCTTACCACACTCACTGGAAAGACGATATTTGGTCGTGTAATCGTCAGATAGTTCAATTTTCCCACAATTCCTCTATACTTCCAAATTATCAAGAAGATCTTCAACATCTGCTTTTAGCTTTACATTTGGAATCATAGGGGATCCACATGGTTTTGAATCAATCATATTAGAGTCCCTCAATATACCTAAGCAATATTTCTGTTGAGATAAGAAAATTCCTTTCCGAGTGCGAGAGACTTCAATTCCCAGAAAGTATTTTAAGTAGCCTAGATCTTTTGTTTGAAATTGAGAAGTAAGGAAATCTTTTAACTTCTTAATTCCAATTTCATCACTGTCAGTGATGACTGTATCATCAACATATACAACAAGCAAGATACATCCGGACACAGACGAGGTAAAGAATATCGAGTGATCATGAAACATTCCAAAAATACGGTCCAAAAATTTCGTTTTCAAATCATTATCAAAACCATAAATCATCCATACTCATCAATAAATCATGTATCATGTATCACAAATTATCATAATATATGTCACATGTCAAAATATCATATCAAAATATCAGAGTAAAACTCCCAGACTGAAGATTGTGGTGTATGCCATGCGATCATCCCGAGCCCTTCCCTTTGCTAGTGGAAGTACCTGAAACCAAAACTGAAAATCGTAAGCACGAAGCTTAGTGAGCTCCCCCAAACTACCCCATACCAAACACACATAACATGCAACTAAGAGATACGGGCCCCGCCCACACTCATGGAGATACGGGCCCCGCCCACACTCATGGAGATACGGGCCCCGCCCACACTCCGCTGACTGTGAGATACGGGCCCCGCCCACACTCAGCTACTTCGAGATACTGGCCCTGCCCACACTCGGCTACTATGAGATACGGGCCCCGCCCACACTCAACTACTACGAGATATGGGCCCCGCCCACACTTAGCTACTAAACAAACATACAAGTATCACATAGACAACAAGTATAACTAAATCTATCAGTCAGACATATATACATAATCAAGCTAAACTAGAAGATACGGGCCCTGCCCACACTCGGCTACTAAGAGATACGGGCTCCGCCCACACTCATCTACTAACATATCATACTACGGGCCGACCTTGGTGCCTTAGACCTGTTCCTATTGAAGGGAAACTCACCTCGC